AGTCCCTGAGTCTGCGGACGATCCCTGGGGCGAGTCGTCAGGATCCTCCGACGCGGATTCGGCAGGCCCATCGGATTCCTCGACACTACCGGATCTGACGTATTCCTCGTCGATTGATCTCGCCCTGTCTTCGATGCTGGTATGCCTGTTCCTGGCGGGGAGGTTGTAGGAGAATGAAGCAGAATTCGTGATGAACGGGAAGTAGACCATCATGGTAAAATACACTTGACTGTCTTCGTAGAGCCAAGTACGAGGCTCCGCTCCAGCTGGCGATCTTTTTGCGTCAGCCATGGAATGGCACGAGGGGACCAAGAGTAGAACGAATACCGGATTGAATCTCATGGCGGCCGGTGCTTGTAACTTCAGGCGAATACATAAACGTCACGGATACGAACTTCCCCGGAGCTCTGCCTGCGGAGATCTGTCAGATCGTCTTCGAATGGAGCGGTAGTAGTCCAGTGGGTCTTCGATGCGAACATATTCGGACTTATTTCTCACAGTGAGGCGCCAACGCTTCCGAGCTTGAGAAAAGGAGAGGGCACCCTGGATTCCAGAAGCACGCATCCTCTCGCATACTCTCGGGGTTTCTCGGCTCGCTCTAACAAGGGGAGTGCAGAACATGATCATGGCCGATCGAGCTGAAATTTTGGTCATAGGATCCTCTACCCGAGAGTAGTTCAAAACTGACATATTAGCTGCGTATGGTCACTTTAAGGCCTCCAGAAAAATCGTCAAAAATGGGACTCTTCAGCATTGAGCCTATGGAAGCTTCAATGAAATTCTCAATGGATATGATAATAATCAACGAAGAAACATTTGACACAGACAGTCACCTTGCAGTGAATACACTTGATGAATGGTAAAGCGTGGCATACAGCGCAGGCCGGGCCGGTGCAGAAGAGCATGTCCGCGAGTTTCGGGAAAGGTATTGACGGCACGTCGAAGCCGCCTTCTCGCCACCCACACAGCCACATGCTGCGGAATTCCGAATGTTGGAATTGATTGTATACAAGGGATTGCATTCGTACAGCATCGTCACGGCTTCGATTTGTTGATCCTCCTCGACGACATCCGATAGCATCTCTTGAAATTTTGAATCCACCGATGTGAAGCGGAAAATCTTGTCAGCTTCAACTCCTGCGCCCTGTGCAGGGCCCATCTTCGAATGTCGTCATCATGAACGGGAAGCGAATTCGCCCGCGCGAGATCGAAAGTTTCTTTTGTGTACTGGGCAACCTGCTTGAGTCGTACCCTCCATGTTCCGCACTCGGCGTGATACTCACGGAAGCGACTAATATAGCACGGATGTTTCACTTTCCTGAACTTCATCCGTATGGTCTTGAATGTATGAGTTGGATGCTTCTCTGCGTATTCTAGAACGCGGCAAACATACTCGTACGAGCAGAAGTCCCTCTCGTCGCCGAAGTCTTCATACACAGCAACGTAGTCTTCGTCTTGAAATTTTGAATCTTCGATATCGTCGATCTCCTCCGCTTTGTCGTAAGACGGCAGGCTAGCGTCAGCGATCTTCGTCTCGATTTGTCTAGCCGACATCCTTGGATTCGTAGGAAATGTAGGGGAAGAAACAACGAAGTGTCTCAGGGCAACGACGTGAAAATTCTCACAAAGTCAATGATCTTAATGATCTCTGCTGAAAATTTGAGCGCGATCGGGGTAACCCTTCCACTAGTTTTGAAATCGAACCCTTAACAACACCTGCAACGTAAAATTCTTCCAGATTTCCATAGGCTCAATGCTGAAGGGTCCCATTTTTGACGATTTTTTTGAAGGCCTTAAAGTGGCCATACGCAGCTAATATTTTAGTTTTGAACTACTCTCGGGTAGAGGATCCTATGACCAAAATTTCAGCTCGATCGGCCATGATCACCGTGTGCACTCCCCTTGTAAGTTGAGAGTTCCCCGAAGCGCCGTGCTTCGTCGAGCTATGAGCCTGTGAGCGTCTGGATGCTGTCGAGGGGATCCTCAGGTGACTCGAAGTCGAAACAAGCACTTTCGAATGAAAGCGAGACAAGCGGCTCTACCGGATACTTTTCTCGCCATCGAACATCTCGCAGAGCATTTTGACCTCCATCCTCCCCTCGGATGGCCTTCGCTCATCCAACTGCGAACGGTTCACTCATAACTTGACTTTGATTCGACTTTGAGCATTGCGGTATAGACATACCGCACATACTATTATAAGAGACGGTCCGTCTCTAGTTTTCGGGTAGCCTCAATTGAGCGGGTAGGTTTTCGAGGATAGAAGAAAAAGACGGGTGGCCTCTAGTGAGCGGGCACTCTTGAGATCAGGAATTCGAGGAAGCGAGTCTCGAAGAGTGCGGGACCTCTCTTCCGGCTCGTTTGTGTGACTGAGTATGATAAATGTGCTTCTTTTATTGATATGATGATATAGTATACCAGGATGAGTGACCTAATGTCCTCGTTGGTGGACGGGAGAAACCGACAGGCATGCCCTCCAAATAGAACATCTACTATGAACTGCGTCATCGGAGGTTTCTTTCAGATTCCGCTCCTGTGCATATACGATTGCTTGCGGTGTTGATGGGAGAGGTGATGTCGACTCCCATGAGCGTTGAATGCAGGCATTGGACAGGCCGCCTGGGTAGTCGTCGTAGCTCGAAATCCCGCGAAGGTCCAATAGCTCCGAATATCGTTGAGACTTCTGACGATAGATCTGTACTCGGAGATACCAGCCTGAATGGATAGGAGCATTGGGGTACGAGCGTGCTTTGTGATTGAAGAATGAAGAAAACTCCAGGCCGATCGTCCTCTCACTTCTGATCCGGCTCATTGAGAAGGCGGGGACACCGGGCTCGACAGCCGCTGGAACAAGCGCATCTTCGGAGACTCACAGATTCTGGAATGACTGCGACTGTAACAGTAGCGTGAAGAGGAGGGCAGGAGGAATCCGCCCCTGGCGGCCCTTTTCAGAGTGCGGCGTTCTCTAGTTTGGCACCCAAGAAGAATGGCAATTCCCTAGGTGGAGTTCCGAAGTTTTGGTATGGTTAATCCGAGAAGCATACGGCAACCCCCAGAACGATTCCCTCGCAGGGAACGGCATTTTCGTCGATCGCATCGCCGAAGAGAGCATCCCGCCCGCGGAATCGCTATGTTAAGCCGCATGGACCCACACATGAGCTTCCGACTCGACCGGAAGGTTCGCGAAAGATCTTCGTGGCGGCCGCACAGACGGACTCTGGGCCACTCTCAGATCGAACTTTCGGGATCGGCAGCGAATCACCTGTATCAGCATTCTGGCAGACGACTCGGGGAACACGAAGGATAGAATTCAGAATCGATGACAATTCATCCTGCTTGAAGAGGATATGTTCTCGGCGAACACATTTGCCTCAGAATACGGGGTCCTAAACGGGGGTTCTCACGAAATAAATGAAGCTCGTCGATTTATGGTCTTAGGGGCTTCGGACTCTGGAAACTGACCCCAACTCGAGCGGACCCGTTTCCTCGAGATTGTCTTATCCGCTTCACAGTGCGGACACTTGGGTGTCCGACGCTCACTTGCAGCACCCTGCGTCACTACGCTTTGAACCTCGACAAAGCTTAGTCTCACCTTGCGGGTCCATCTTTGGAGCGAGCTTTCCTGGCATAAGGGAAGAGATTCTAGGCGGCCCACGACGCTCCTTCGCATAATCTTCGTCTCTCGAGACAAACCCGGGAATATTTCCCGGCCGATTTCTCGCTAGGATGCCATCGAGCATGGTCCACGAATCGAAAAGGAGGCGGCGATTCGGCTCCCGGCTCGGATCCGCTGCTGGATAGCTTCTCGGCGGGGCTGTTGCCATGAAGCGCTGATGAAGGCTGATCTTTCGCGATTTACAATATATAAGCATCCGATGGCGATCAAGGATGATATTGATTCATGTTAGCATCGAACCCTTGTGTCGTGATCAGGAGAGCGAAAGAGCTCTGAATCCCAGCTATCTCTGCTTCGATTGTTGTCGGCCGCCTTTTGGGTACCATCACCGTCCTGAGAAATTAGAGATCGGCTTCGATTATCGACGCATGACTCCGTTTTAGAAGATGAGTCGATCCTGTTGTCTACACAACAATCAGCGGGACGACTTGTTGTTCTTGAGAATTCTGATCATCACCCTGCAGAAATCACCCTGCAGCATCACCCTCAGAGCCGATCGATGTTTGAGAGCGCTTGTCGGTGACTCTCTAGGAGCTCTAGGTCGACTGGTACTCCTAGGGCTTCGCGCTCGGACTAATCGGCCGGGTGATCTCACCCCATGGAGGAGTCGCCTGGAGCAAGGGTGATCCGCTCGGATGATTCGTTGGAATGGATAGATGATCACCGCGTTTTTCCGAACGTGCATCGCCGCCTGTCGCGAAAGAGGGGCTCCGGGGAATCGAAAAGCGCGTCTTCTGATTGGGTTTCGAACTGGCGAGGTCAAGCCCCGTTCGAACCTCTTCTCAGGGTTGAAATCACTCGCTCTCCAGTCCCTTCGAGGAGGCCTAGTATCAAGCAGTGCAGGGAAGATCAGAGTGTGCCGTTTGCGGTATCGTTGCGGAAGATACAAGTGAGCTAGGAATATCGTGTGGAAGATCGTACAGAATGACCACGATTCCACAGTTCTTCTCCGGGAAGAATGTCTTCATCACTGGCATTTCCGGTTTCCTCGGCAAGGTACGTAGAGTTTCGATGGATCCGGCTGTCTGTGCTCTGCGAAAGTGGAGTCGGATCGATTTACACCCTTCCCTGCTCGCAGGGCGTAAGGTTTCCAATCCATCTGTCCCCAGGTTCTGATGGAGAAAATACTAAGATCGTGCCCGGACGTGGGGGCCGTTTATGTCCTACTTCGCGAGAAGAGAGGAGTTAGTAGTCAGCAACGTATCGAGGGGATTCTCGCCACGCAGCTTTTCGATGACCTCCGAAGCTGTAGTCCCGAGAGCTTCGCCAAGGTTAGCATGACCCATCCTGACGAGGGTCTTGAGCCCCGAATATTCCCGGAAGATGTCGCTCTCTACTCGCGATTGCATGACCACTTTCATTTATGTTCATAACAGGTTAAGCTGGTCACGGGCGACCTCTTGGAACACAGGATTATACCTGACGATGGCGATCTGGAAATGCTCCAGAACACAATCGACGTCGTAATTCACTCAGCAGCTTCGGTTGGTAATCCCGGAACCTCCGTTCAGCTCATGTTTCAATTATTAGCATCATGCAAAGCTCCATCATAGCGTGTCTGTCCGGACCAAGGATGCTTCACGGAAGAAAGTGTTGTACCAAGCTCCGACGAGTTCCAGCAATTATATACAATATACCAATCTCTCTCGACAGGTCCGTTTTTCTGAACCGCTTATCAACAGTATCGACATCAATCTCAAGGCAACATATAAGATGCTCGAGCTGGCGAAAACGATGAAACATTTACATTCCTTCGTCCACGTTTCAACGGCCTACTCGAATTGTCAGCTCAAGAAAGTGAGAGAAGAGATCTACAAGTGCGAGGTATGGAGCGGCCCTCGAAAATCGGATCGAGATGATTTATTCAGCAGAGTTGTCGTGGCTCAACACTCAAACGTGCAATCGAAGCTGACCAAGACCTTCGCGATGCCGCCTACGCCCAAATCCCATAGATACAAATGTATTTATATATCCGGGCCCTGCACAAATCAACTCCTATTAATTGCGAATTATTTATTCCTTCCCGACAAGTTCGACCCAGTTAACCTGCTGTCAATGAGTGAATGGATGTCAGAGAAACTCATGGAGCATCTAACTCCGAAGATTCTGGAGGATAGGCCGAACACCTACACTTTCACGAAAGCGATGGCCGAAATTCTTGTCGAGCAATACTCTTCTTGCTTACCGATCGCGATCGTCAGACCGTCGATCATCACCGGTTAGTACATTGTCTGTGACAGAGCGTGGACTCGAACGAAGATATCTCTCAATAATTCCCCACTCTACATCGCCGAAAATAAATCGAAGCTGATCCGAGTGGTCTCCGGAATCGTCCTGGTCTCACGACTAAGACTCGCTGGCGCGGGCGAAGGGTCAGAGCCATTCTTTGCGCCGAGTTATTCGGGAGACGGATCTCTAACTTGGTGGAAGGCCCTTGAAATTACTCCGAAATTCCAGGAGCCGCCTTAGAGCCCTTGCCAGGTTGGGTGGATAACTACAATGGTCCCAACGGTCTGCTCATCGCACTCGGCACCGGAGCTCTCACAACTCTATATAGTCAACTTGACTGCGTTGCCGATTTGATTCCCGTGGATTTCGTGGCGAACACGATCCTCGCAGCTGCCAAGCATTCGAAAGACGGTTTCAAGATCTACAACTGCACCTCGGGCTCTCAAAACCCGATAAAATGGTGAGATTACGTAGGCGCTGAAAATAGTTCTCAGTTCCGGGATCCCCCCCCCCCTTCTGAATTTCGGTAGCCGGAGAACATGCCCGGAACATCTCAAACATGCCTGATACATCTCAACCATTTTTCAGGCGGAAATTCATGGAGGAATCGGTCGATTTCCCGCATCGATTTCCCTCAATGTCCATCGTTCGCTACCCGCAGCCGAGAATTACCACACATAAAGGACTGCACAAAATACGTCTCTTCCTCCAACACTACGTTCCGGCCCAGGTGGTCGATGCTGCGCTGCGATTGGCTCGGAAGAAACCAATGGCAGCGAAACTCTACCAAAGACTCTCGGCGTCGATGGACCTCCTGGAATTTTTCGCGACGAACGAATGGGTTTTCGACAACACGAATACCCAGAATCTTTTCGCGGGTCTACACAAGAGCGACAAAGATGAATTCAATTTCGATGTGCGTACCATAGATTGGCCATCGTATGTGCATACCTATTGCAGCGGAATCCGGCGATATCTACTCAAAGAAGACTCTTCGAATCTAGAGCAAGCCAGAGCTCACGTGAGACGGCTCAAGTACATCAAACATGCTTATGATATATGCGGAAATGTACTCTTGACGTGGGGCGCGTGGAAGGCGTGTTGCACAATGCTCCTATGAGCTGACTTCGGTGTACCTTCTAGGAGGCTTTTCGCGAATCTGCGACATAGATATGTGACGTCATTCGATTCGGTTGGTCTGAGGAATGCCTCGACACATATATGTTTTGAGAATTCAGGATGACAGTATATTGCTAGCCCGATATCGGACCCCGCGGTGTGTGACGGAGCTTCAGAATCTCCTATTGCTTCAAGACCTCCATCCGCCAGACGAGTGAGCACTACATGAATAAACATTTTCTGGGTCATCGATCATCCTTGCGCTCCTCATACATCGCGTCGCTCGCCTCATTATCTCTCGAGAGACGCTGTATTCTTTCTCGAACACGAGCAGAGCCCGCAGAATCTTGCACAGCTTCCCCCTGATCCACGATCGCGGGGCAGCAATCCAATGCAGTGCCGCGGTGCTGAAGATTGGTGACTCGAAAAAATAATGTTGATCGGACATCATCCCCGATGAAGTGGGGGATACAGCTCCGAGCCATCAGAGAAGGTCGATTCTCTGGAGCGTTCCGGAAAATGTTATGAATGTCCGGGAAACTTCAGGAATGCCTCCCGTTGACCGGGAGAGCGGACCACGGTTGTCGAAGAGTTCGAAGCCCGACCACACCGACCGGCCCGCCGACAACCGAGATGCCACGACGACGACCGCGATGGACTCAAGTTTGTCGGCGACAACAGGAGCAGCAGTAGCAACGACGACGACTTCTGCCCCATGACTCCCCCCAAGGAAGGAGCCAAAATTATCCATCGCTAAGGGAAATCCCCGACGACGACAACAACAAGCACCACCACCATCGCACCGAGCATGTTCATTAAAGCCGAGGTCATTTACAACAATCGTTATGAACCTTGCGAGCTTCGAACCATCCTCTCGAGTCATTTGGACGTTTTGAAAATATTGCATTTACTTTCACCACTTCGTTCAAGGAATCAAGATTCTTTCGTCGGGCCTGGAAGCGATTTCAGCCGACGCTAGCTCCCACGTCATCTTCCTCCTCGTCTTCGCTCAGATGTTCAACGAACATCAGATGGCTACCGCAAATACTCTTCTTCACCCTGTGGAAGCAAGATTCGGTGCCTGAGTGAGGTTCTAAGGCTAATCTGGTCCTCAATGAATAGTCTGAGTCGTTGCTCGAATACAGAGCTCCAGTTCCTCCTATCGGTTATCGATCGCTTATGAATCGAAGAAAGCAGCTCACTGCACACAGGGAGCGGGCACCGGTCTCCCACCGCGAATTTCATCAGTGTAGCAAAATCCGATCCCTGTCAACACCTTCGGTGCACCGACGTCTACCTCTTGACCCGGCATTTTCTTCTGACACAGCAGCAAAATATCCCCTCCATGCAGCGAAAAATGTTCCTTGATGGTCACCGCTCGGCGCGGAATCTCATTCGATGTCCTGACTCTTAAAGACCTCGTGAAAGCTGCGAAGATCATTACATAACAGGCGAGGGTGGGAAAACATTTCTTTGACTCGTTACTTCGTCTTTTGATATCGGAGCGATAAAATGCGAACCAAGGGCGCTCACCACTCAGAGGCGGTTGAGCTCGGCTGGCAAAGAATTTCAGTCTGTCCCAATAATTGTAAAAACTCATGTTGTCGCTCCTGAGGATGGAAGGAATGCTTCACGAAACTCCGACGCATCGAAATCCGGCTCGTTTGAGGGAATAGTACGGAACGAACTTCGAGGATTTCGCGAGAAACTGACGGTGGGAAATCGATGCAATGTTCCTTGTACTGGTAGATAATTGACACGGGTCGGGATCTTTCGCTCTCCGTCAGCGTGGGTTTGACCATTTCCACGTAGTCTCTGATATCATCAAATTCCTCGGACAGCCCTGGAATCGCATGATGTATCCCGATCACAGGTTTCGAAATTCTCGGCAGCTCTCTTGCGACTGATGGGAGATCAAGATCGAGACGACTCACATTTGCTCTCTAGATCATCGTCGCTTGCCATCACATCCTCATGCAGTCGTTTTTTCCCCTCTTCGGTGGTTGGTCTATAAGGACGGAAACCCCAAAGTCCGCGGAGGCCCCAGCTGGAAGAATTTACGGTCGTCTCCAGCGATAGCTGCTCCTAGTGTCTCATCGTTTGTGGAATGGCTCGAGACATCGGCGGAATTCGCTCACCGGAAAGGCAGCCTCTTCACAGATTCTAGGCATTTCTCTTCCTTTCCTCCAGCGTCTCGCCGCTCTATCGCGGCCGGGAACGTGTCCCCTAGGCATACTCCGGGAATGTAGTCATAAACGACCATATATGCCGGCATCGGCGTACTGTTGATTATTCCTCAACTCATATTCAGGGGATACGAGCGACACAAATGCAAAATAGCTCCTCGGAGTCCCGAGCTATACATACTCAGGAGTGACGTCTCCCCCTTTGAGCCTGGTGATTACTTGAGTGGATAGGAAATTCCGATCGAACTGCAAAAGAAGGAATGCTACCGCAGCAGCCAGAGCACTCAAATACGAGGAGCTGTTCTCAGAACCCCGCCCACGCAATCGCAAACGCCGTGCACAGGAGATGAAAACGATAGAGAGCGTAAACAGAGCGACATTGCTCTTAAGAATGTCTGGCATCATTTCTGCTCGAGAGCCCGATCCGAGAGAGGATTCAAAATTTCGTTATCAGAAAAAACAAAATGTGCACTTAGATGAAAATCTATGAACCACCAGTGAAGTTCGATTCCTATGCGTCCTGACCGTCGATCCCCGATTGAGCCATGTAAGGGAAGGCTTCAAATCTTGGAGCCTCGTCCATTCGAATTCGGAGGCATGGCCGTTGATTAGATGCCCGTTCGAAGGGTTCCCCACTCGGAGAGCGTCCCTCCCCTTCCCCGCGCAGGCTGAGCTGCACTGAATCGTCTTCGTCTCGCCCGAACAAATGATGAACAAATGATGAATGCCCCTTATTGATGTATCCGTTGGAATATCCATGACAACGAGGCTCATCGAGCATGGATAATAGCAGGAACCGTCTTCATTCCCGATTCCGGGAAGAGTGTGATTCATGTGAGCTTCAGCGATGCTCAACGCTCAACAGCATGCTGGGGATATTTCGCTTCCGCACCATGGAACGGAGCACCTCGATTATTATCGACCGAGATCCTTCGCCGGGTCCTCTTGGCCGAGGATGCGGGGAAGCGGTGTACAGTCTACGGTTTCGGGCCGGGAAAGTGCGGCTGACGCGGCCATCATCATTCATATAAGATGTCTCTCAACCATCGCCGTCATAGGCAGGGCCGCAGAGAGAAATTCTGTGCCCGGGGGCAAGTTCTGACCTGGGCCCCTCTCGATTATGGTCTGTGATCCGTCACCAGAGAAGTGATAGAACGAATTGGTAAGAGCAGCAGTTCCCTTTGCATTTCCATGCATCTTTTGGGATGGGGAAGAATTTAGGACGCAGACAAAATTATTCGACTAAAGCCTGAGCTAGGGGCCCTTCCGGAAACTCTGGGCCCGGGGCAAGAGGTCATTAATATTCCCCCTCTCGTCGGGCCTGGTCATAGGCCATCTTCATCCGTCGTGCCATTCCATTTTCCGCATCGCCACGAGCTTGGTTCGCGAGAGCAAGAACAACGAGATCGACAAGCTATTGGAGGGATGGCTCATGTGGTTCTCGTCGCCCTGGTGTATTAATGCTTGGCTCGATGCCCGTCGGACCAGTCGCGGCCGTTCAGAGGCCGATCAGAGATCATCATCACGTCTCCAACGTGAAGTCGACAGTGGTGGATCTCGGTGATTTGGACTTCGGCCCAGTGAGGTATCCCCAAGAAGTTCGGCACCGGCCGTACGAGTTCAATGAGGAGGAACAGGAAATTATTTTCTATCGAGGTAAAGTTGATAGTGGAGAACGATCCTGCTCCCATTATCGCGGTCGGTGAGCTTGTGAGGGTTCAAATAGTCCTCGCTACCCGCCACCAGGTACTCCGAAATAACAAGAAATCATACAGCCGGTCTGATCCATCATTCTGAGAAATGTTTGTCTCGACTATCCTAATGGGCAGAGATCCACCAAGTAGCAATCACGCATGAGGCTTGAGGAATTATCGTCTAACATTCCCTCATTGATTCAGACGTGATATGGCATTAATATTCATCTCATGCCGTAATACTTCACTTCTGTTTATAAGCCGTGCAATCCTTGTCAACAGCTCTGGTCTCGTGCATCTTTTTGTGGACAGCATCTATAATTCTCGCTTGGATAACTGTTCCGTTAACGTGATGAGCGTTTTTTCTGAGAGAAGCATTGGAGGAGGAAGCTGATACCCGACTCTGTGTATCCCTGCAAAGAAAAGAATGGTCCTCCCTGTTGCTCCGGATCAGACTGAGCTTGCTGGCAAAGGAGCGAAGATCAAGCTGACGTCTTCGATCGGCATGTTCATACGGAATTTCTTCCTATCATTGTGATTTCATCTGCTCAGAAAAGTTTGAATGCAATAAGAATGATTCCAATCGCGGAATCGCGGGAATCCTTTGTGTGGAATCTGAGCCTTCGCAGACGAGACTTTCCCCTTCGATCATCGAAGCCGGACGGATTAGACAGATCCCACGTCTGAACACCGTCGATCACGTGAACTCAGTCCAGGCTTCTACAAGATGCTCCGGAGTCCGCGAAGCGACAAGGTCTGGTGCCCCTAGTTTCAAAGTTCCATACCGCGGCAGAGTTGTATCGGATCAGGGAGAGCTGTGGAATGACCGGCGTCGAAAGCCTTGCCCACTTCTCGGCTCCCTCTGCTCCGGAGCATCATCGTCTCCACCAGCATATATAAGGGGGGCGAGGAGGCCGTGCTTCCTCCTCCCAAAACATCGCCTCCGTACTTGTAGCTCTTTGGGGATCATCATCATTATCATCTTCATTGTGGCCCCTCAAACACATTGCTGGCCCCTTCAGAAAAGTCCTGTATACACCCCTGGTGATCTCTTGAGGCATGGCGCGTATTCGATTCGCTCGACCATAAGAGCTCTCTCATGATTCTTCTGGGGTGGCGGGCGATCCCGCGATCTTAGAAGTCGATTTTTCTTGCAGACATCATCGGTTGCGACGAATTCGACGACGGTGCCAAAGCGAAACCTCAGCCTTGTCAGCTGCTCAGAATACAACAATATCGTTGTGGCA